CATATCCAAGATGGCGTTTTTCTAGTCGCGAAAGTGGTAGATAAGAGCAACTTCTAAGCGCTGTTATCGTAATTGAAAAGCAAACTGGACAAAACGGCAATTATTTTCGAATTCCTGTGGAAAAGTTCTATTAATAGAGGTAAAATTTTTCTAGACCGTACTTCCCCTTAAAAATCGTGTCGGTTCTTTCCCTACCACTTTGAGTAGATCAGCCATTTTCCTGTTTTGTAATCGTATTCCTCGGCCAACTGTAGAATATAATCTGAGGTAATCTTGCCAAAGTTTTCCATGTTACATTCCCATTCTTTAAGCAAAGAAGCCTTATCGGGAGATTTCATCTTTGAGAAATCAGAATGGCGCCAAACACTGATCCACGAATACTGGGAACACTCGATCTGTGTTGGTCGGTTTCTCTTCAGAAAATCATCGATTGGCATGTCGCCTTTGTAAATAATCCACTCTCCATCGTCTTTGTTAGGTCGCGATGCAGCCATCGGCAACGTACAGTAGAGCACAAGCAAAACTACAGGCCACTGTCTCCTAGGACTTCATTGAAGAGAAATACATCGCATTTGAGGCAGAGGTCAGCGGCAGCGGCCACCTCAGCTATGCTCGATCCTTCGCTTGATCGAGGTGAAGTCCTATTTCCTGAAAGGAGCTAGCATGGTAACAATCCTTAGGCACTGCACGGCTGTGCATCCATCACACGACGAATGCAATTTCACTTCGGCTGAAAGTTCCCGTTGAAGTCAGACGCAAGGTTTCAAAACTTTCAAGATATTTTCCCCGCTTTATCCCGATTGAAATTGACCTTGTGGAACTAAAAGTGAAAATGAAACGTCCTAAATAATACTCGTTTCGAAAAACAATGAACATGTAATTCTTTCGAGCGACGAAGTTATTTTTGAGTTGACAATAATTCATTCAAACGCAATGCGAACTATGGCTAAAAACAAATCTAAGCTTTTTGACTTAAATTGTAGCTTTGCGACGTCGGGTAATCTTCATTAAAGGGTAAATATTATTTTGAAGTGTTGACATGTCCTTATGGTGTTGTTCAGTGTTTTGATATCGTACAATGTTCAGAATTTTCAACACAAAGCTACGCAATTTTTGCAAGCACACGGGTCTCTTAAATGTACGAAATTTGTAAGTTTTCGGTTCGTTTTTCGAACGGTTGATATTATTTTTAAGTGTTGATATTTCTAACAATATATTGTTCATTAGCAGATTTTAATTCTAAAACCGCACAATTTCAGAATTTTAAAAATTTAAATTTAAAAAACACAAACCTACGCAATTTTCTGACCGTTAATTGTAGTAAACAACAGTACATGCAAGAAATTCGTTCATATCTCGCTTCTGAGGAGAAAATTCAAAATTCTTTTTCACATCTTTACGTAGAGAAGCTTTATCGGGAGATTTTATCTCTGAGAAGTCAGAATGGCGCCGACACAGATATACGAATACTGGGAACCCTCGATCTGTGATGGTGGGTTCCTCTTCAGAAAATCATCGATAGGCATGTCGTCTTCGAAAATAAGCCACTTTTTATCGTCGTTGTTAGGTAGTGAGGCAGCCATCGACGACTCTCAGAAAAGCGCAAGCAAAATCACGAGCCGCTGTCTCATGAGGACTACAACGAAGATGAATGTACATCAGAAGCCCGATTCCTAGCAGACGTTAGCGGCAGCGGCCACGTCAGCTGAGCTTGATCCTTCCCTTGATCGAGGTTAAGTCGATATTCAATTATCATATTAACTAATGTGTTATATAAGGATTTCTATCCTTGCGAAAAGCCGCAACGACACACGCGAAAAAATATCGTTTTTTTCGCATATGTTTGATATCGCCAATCAGCTGCAGAACGTCACTCGGTCGGGTTGATGAAGGAACGGCAAAGCCCTTACTTTTTGTCGGAATTTTCTCGGATTATGGTTGCCAAAACACTGAAAAATCCGTATCGCCTACAGACAATGACGCTCAAACTTTCGAAGAAAGAGAAAGAAACCAAAATACGAAAAGAAAAACCAAAAGTTACGTATACAGTAGCTTTGGTAATGGCTTTTCTCGCGGCTGAGAACGAAAATCGACTACTGGAAGATTTGTTGCAGGCCGATTTTGGCCTTACATCTGAAAGATTTCTTCTGTCGGTAAGGACAACGTCAACATGGGAAAATGCATTTGATTACAAAAACAACAATGGGCGTAATTTTTAATAAACAAAATTCTCATTTATTGACTTTGTCCTTACTGACAGAACATAAATGAGTGTTCATGCGATCTTCAAAGCGACAGAGTGCACTGTCTGTTCGACAACAGAATTCCACGCGGCTCTCATCATTAATATTTCTAAGAAATTTATCCGCCCGCAAAGCATTCGTAATCCTTTCCAGCATTAACGAGCTTCAAATCAGTCACATTCTTCTGAAGAATAAGAACACAACACAGGTCATCGAGTCCAAAGTGTTAAGTACAATGAATTGAACGGATTTTTTTGATAATTGTCCCCGATCGATCTGAAAAAAAAAATAAATGATAATAGTGATAATAATGGTGATAATTATGATGATAATGATGATGATAAAAACAGCGTAATAAAGTTTACGGTCGTTACTGGCTTTAGTCTCACCTTAGGGGGAGGGTACGAATACACATGGACTTTTAACCGTGCCAGTTTATATTATCAATTCAGTTGATAACTGCTAACTGTCTTGTAAAACCCCTCACCGATGCAGCACCACAGTTTCTTCATAAACTCCCCCTTAAATCAAAATTGTTTGCTAAGGGTAAATAGGAACCAAAGAAGAATGAAGAAGCTTAATTAAATGTGATTAGGGCGGAGACTGACAAGGATCACAAATGCGAACCTTGTGACAATCCTTGACGAAACTTCAAAGCGTGTCATATGTTTCGGTAGGCCGCGTGACTTCTTGCGTTACCTATCGTGACTTTTCAAGCGGGCCGTAGTGTTGAAATTACTCTCCGCTCGCCATGGTCAATGACTTCTTGCTGTTAAGCGTTGTGTTCTCATTTCAAGGCACCCTTTTACTGATTGCTCTTGTCCTAACTTTGTACATCACTTGTTCCTTTTTTGGCGATGTACGGGTCTCGAATCTGGAGAAGAAAGCCGTGTTTATCACTGGCTGCGATAGTGGATTCGGCTATGAGTTAGCCAAGAAATTAGATGCGGAGAGATTACGAGTGTTCGCTGCTTGTCTCACTTCTGAAGGAGAGGCAAAGCTGAAAAATGAATGCTCTCCGGAGCTTATCACACTAAAACTGGACGTTACCAAGCCAAGGGATATTCAATACGCTTTACAAGCCGTCAAATCACACCTGCCTTCTCAAGGTATTTCATCGATCGAACTGGATTGAATCTTGTTCATTCCTTCAAGGATTAGCTAAGTTAACATCGCTGATGAAATTTGGATGAGACTTAACTCATGTATTGTGTGTCTATGTAAGGTGACTGTTTCCATTGTAAATAATTGTTTTCTTTTAACTGATTCGAGGGTTTTGAAAATCTTTCCATGCTTACTCGTGAAAAACGGAAAAAACACAGACACAAACCAAACAAGCAAAAATCGGTCTTTTGTTTTTATAAACTGAAATACTACAAGCAACTTTCAGGTGGGGAATGATGTTAAAAACTTTTTAAAGATTTTACTCCTTGTCAGATCACTGGAGCACTTGATCATCTGATGACTGTGAACAAGTGGTAAACATTTATCAGTAAATTAGTAAAGGGGTGGGGTAGGTGGGGAGATACAAGTAATCCCTTAAGCGGGCTTTTTGGTATGTTAGGTGTGTATTGGTGTGATTCCCCACCCCTCTCCCCTTAATTGTCTGGAATGTGAGGTAGATTTTGCTGTCTGGACCTGAGAACAGGTTAGCTTTACCACAGACTAAGTATAAATTTTATCTGTGAACATTTGTTTGGGATCCAGTGTAAACTAATGTGAGAAGATGGACTAATTTTGTTTTAAAGCTTGGGAAAGACTTAAAACCATGCTACCCAGCCTCCCCTCCCATATTTACCTCTGGCTAATGTGGAATGGCACATGTTATCTCTTGATTATTGGTGAAATAAGTTCAACTAAAAGCGTCATTTTCAAATTCCATTTTTTCTTATTTAAAACATACTTCTGCATTATTCTAGGTTTGTGGGCTATAGTAAACAATGCAGGCATTGGATACCCAGGACCCATTGAATGGCAACCTGTGGAGGAAATGAAGAAGACTTTGGAGGTGAACCTGTGGGGAATGGTGAATATTACGAAAGCATTTCTTCCATTACTAAAGAGAACCAAGGGGCGTGTTGTTAATGTTGCCAGTTCATCAGGGAGACTCTCTTATCCTTTTGCTGCAGCTTATTGCATCTCCAAGTTTGGAGTGGAGGCTTTTTCTGATGCACTACGCAATGAAATGAAGCATTTTGGAGTCACTGTTCACATAATTGAGCCAGGGATTTTTAAAACAGCCATAACAGATGCAGAGAAGAACATCAAATACCTACAAAGATTATGGGAAAACCTTGATGGAGATACCAAAGAATGTTACGGAGGGGAGTTTTATGAACAAGGTATGGGAAAAGTTTAGCAATCATGTTATTATTATTGAATGCTCAGGGAAAAGCTTGACTGTGATTGGTGAGGCCTTATAGCAATGTAGTAGCATGTTATTGCCTGCTTTGTTGTTTGCAAGAAAACTGTTTTGTTATTCTGATTGGTCAATTTAGCAGGCTGTATTTTACTGTACTGCCACCTAAACTCGGCTCTAAAACTGAGTGGAAAAGGCAAGATCCAAAACTTGCAGACCTCAAGCTCAGTAAGAAGTATTTAACCCCTCACCAATCTAAAAAATTATGCAGGACTCAGAATAAATATTAAGTAAAATGAAATGAAGTGAAGAATATTAAAATCTTCCATTGTGGAAAAACCTTAATTTTTCAACTATTGGCTCCTTCTTTGGCAGTGAGTTGCTTCTCTTCCAGTAATACAACTAATGTGGTTTGATCTTTTTAAATTATCAGCCAAAGCCAAGTTAAGAGACATACGTCATATTTTTTCACTTAACATTTTCAAAGTGGTTGATGCCATGGATCATGCAGTGACATCCACACATCCTAAACTAAGATATGTTCTTGGGCTGGACCACCAACTCATTTGGAGAACTCTCTCATTTCTACCATCTGAAATACAAGATTTCTTCTTTGGACTGATGTTGCCAAAACCAAAGGGAATTGATGGTCGTGGCACTTGAATCAACTGCCATTAATGAGTCAAAAATAAATTGTTTCTAGAAGATCCACTTTGTGAGCAGATTAAGCCATTAACCCTTTTCCTCTCACATCCTCGTTAGTAATTCTCCTCACCATTTCCTATACAGTTTTTATCATGCTAGTGTGGAGAATTTGGTATTGGATTAACTTATGGTCCCCTTGATGAAATTTTTCTGTTTGATATTTCATTATTGTAAGGAGAAATTCTATCTTGGCCACTAGTGGGAGTTAAAGGGTTAACAGATGTAAAATTCTTAACCTCCCTCACCTTAATACCAGTGTGCATGTTTCCCAAACTGTTCCCCAAACATTTCCCAAGGTGCTGACAAGAGGATGTTTTTAACGATTGATTGGTGATCATTTCCTTTATTCTTGGGACCTTAATGTGTGATTTAGGGATGATATTGTGAGGAGAAACTAGATATTGGTTACTCTTAGTGGTCTACAGGTTAATGGTCTTCTTGAAACTTGTTAAAGTATCAAAGCTACTTGTTACAAAGTCTGAGGGACAAAAAGACACAACTCTGGCTAAGTTTTAAGAGAGCATGAATACTAGAGACCAGAGTTTTTGGGGAGAGAAGATTCATAAGATATCTTAGTATAACTGTTAAATACTTTACAGAGAGTAATTAACTTTTATGCAGCGTTTGTTCAATATTCAGCATAATGATCCTGAAGTAGTGCTTTT